GTGTGTGTGTGTGTGTGTGTGTGTGTGTGTGTGTGTGTGTGTGTGTGCGTGCGTGTGTGATTTTTCTCATCAGCTGGTTGATCTCTTCTTTGCAGTTGAAAGCCATGTAACAAAGGATGTGTATCGTGCATTAATTCACAGCTATTGAATTTTGTTGCAGAATTACTGACTTCATCACTGTTAGGTAATAAATTGTTTAAGTATTGTGAGACACGTTTTGTGTTTCTTTCATTGATGTCATTTTCTGCTGGCCAGCATGATGCTCTTAACAGGGACTTGACTTTGAAGTTCGAACAGTTTCATGTGCAATAAATGTTTATACATGTACATGGAGAGGATGCATGGGGTTTTGGAGTGGTGTAATTTATGTAAAATAAAGAGTTTGAATTCTGCATTATTTTGGTTTCAAGCAGTATTTCATTGTGATAAGGTCAGGGATGTGACCGAAAGGTCGCTGACCAGGCTAGGAGATAAATGAGGTACACTCCTTTGGAGGGCAACTTCGGTATTCTTCAACTCTATTTCCTCTGTTTTTGTGACTAAGTGCGGGGACAACAGTATTTGAAATTAGTCCAGTATTGAGGGAGAACGCAGCAGACAGCAACCCTAAACGGATTGTAATGTATTTGCTCGACTCCTCGCTGTCAATGTACATCGACTAAAAGTGCTTGTTTTTGCCGCTGACAGGCTCAGCATTATTCTAAGTGTCTGACAACAATATGGAAAGAAACCTATAGAGAAATAAAACATTTTTCTTTACCTTTCGCTTTCTGTTTTTTCTTGTTGTTTAACTTTAAGCTAGATCAGACATGCCATAATATAACCATGATGGTTCCCACTCTCCATGTCTTAAGTGAGCAGACATTTGCCGTAACAGATGTGTGGAAATGATGTGCTGTTAAATACTCCTCCATCGCGGAGGATTGGCCTTTGTACATTGGTAAGGATGAAAGTATCTGTGCAGGTGGTGTACAAAAGAGTAGAAAACATAATTGGAGTAAAAAAGTCCCCAAATAAAACCCACAGGTTTAAGAGGCAGTATGCCTCAGACCGCAGAGTGTATTTAGATGGTATAATACAACCCAGAGGGATCCCTGAAGAGTTTAAATCAAGAAATTAGATAAAAGCAGGCCTCAAATCCATATTTATTTGGATGACACCAAACAAAAATGTTGCTTGGATTGATTATATCTATTATAACCAGCAACGGTTCAACAAACGTTAGGCCAGTTGGGAGCCAGTTTGGTCAAAAATAGGAATGACTGCACTGATAGTTTTTATTATATTCTCTCTGTTAGTTTGTTGCAACATACCCATTCTGAGAAAGGTCCTCACAAAGAGTCTGGTCAGACAGACAGAGAGAGAGAGAGAGTCAAACAGAGAGACAGAGTCAGACTGAAAGTCAGAGAGACAGACAGACAGAGAGAGAGTCAAACAGAGAGAGTCAGACAGAGAGACAGAATCAGACTGAAAGTCAGACAGACAGACAGACAGAGAGAGAGAGAGAGAGAGAGAGTCGGACAGAGAGAGTCAGACAGAGAGACAGAGTCAGACTGAAAGTCAGACAGACAGACAGACAGACAGACAGAGAGAGAGAGAGAGAGAGAGAGAGAGAGAGAGAGAGAGAGAAAGAGAGAGAGAGAGAGAGAGAGAGAGAGAGAGAGAGAGAGAGAGAGAGAGAGAGAGAGAGAGTCAAACAGAGAGACAGAGTCAGACTGAAAGTCAGAGAGAGAGAGAGAGAGAGAGAGAGAGTCAAACAGAGAGACAGAATCAGACTGAAAGTCAGACAGACAGACAGAGAGAGAGTCAGACAGAGAGACAGAGTCAGACTGAAAGTCAGACAGACAGACAGACAGAGAGAGAGAGAGAGTCGAACAGAGAGAGAGTCAGACAGAGAGACGGAGTCAGACTGAAAGTCAGAGACAGTGAGACAGAGAGACAGAAACAGTCAGGCAGAAAGTCAGAGAGAATGCTAGAGAGACAGACAGTCAGACAGATTCACAGAGTCAGAGAGACGGACAGAAAGTCAGACAGACTGAATCAGACAGACCGATTCAGATAGAAAGTCAGAGAGACAGACAGAAAGTCAGAGAGACAGACAGAGTCAGACAGAGAGACAGACATAAAGTCAGAGACACAGAGTCAAATAGAGAGACAGAGTCAGAGAGATGGACAGAAAGTCAGAGAGAGAGACAGACAGAAAGAAAAGAGAGATAGAATTACAGGATAGATAGCCGTATATATTATGCCATAAAAATGTCATTAAAATACATATAAAATAAAATTGAATATATTTG